TGACATCACCTAGATACAGACTCGGAGATACCAGGGACCATTTTCCTCCAACGGTCCATCAAAAGATACAAAACAGAGAACCTCTTATATTGAGGTCCAAAAAGTTCCCTAGACAGGTGTGTTCTTAAATAACAAGGGAACAAATGAAAAAGAAAAAAAGTTAACTATGGTAACTATGTAGAAAGGTTGGCTAGAAAAAGCAGGTGGCATACTTCGGGTACAGTTTTTGTAACACTAACCCACTGAAGCATATATAGTGTGTGGTGTGAAGGTGGGGGGGAGATCACATTCAGGAAGAAGAGCAAAATAATAGGAAAAAGAATTACAAGATGAAATAAATATAAAAAAAGGATGAGATAAAAAAAGGAAAATTACAGAGTATTTTGGCATACAGTATGATTAAATAAAAACTGAAATCACACAAGCATTAAATGAAAACAGCCTTCAAACTAATACTTTCAACAACTAAAAATGGATAAGTTAAACCAAGCTAAGAAAACCTCACAGAGGTTTAAAAACCAAATAAATATGGAGCAACAAAATAAGCTAGAGAAAGCCTTGATTCCTACACTGTTTTCTCCTGTGTGCTGTTAGGCACTGATCCCAGAACCACATATGGTAATGCCACTGAATTCAATGGGACTGCTCATATGTGTGACTGTTCAAAAGATGAGACCTTCATGATGTACGCCTTTGAAAAACAGGTAATGTTTACTTCCATAATAAGTTAAATAAATGGTTAAGTAAAAAAGCAATCCAAAATGCTTGGCTTAATAATCTGAAGTGCTACTTCTAAACAGGTGGGATGATTATTTTATAGACTTAACCGCTTTCCTTACAATTAAAAAAAAGTTAATTAGGGATCATGAATAGTGTGCTAGGTTGACAGCAGTACCTTAGTGAAGTTCCCTACCTACAGAAAGGGAGAGAGATAGAGGTAGTTTTTAGGTTCCCAACTTTGCCTCAGTTTTGACCCAAGATAGTCAACTTCTATGGAAAAGATTATTCCAAAAACTTTTTTCTGAGATGGGTGTCCATGTCACAAAAAACGTCTACTGCACTAAGATAACATCTTCCTTATCTTCGAAAAATATAGCACTGAAAAGATAGTATGAAACTGACCTCAATTTGAGCCTTTAATCAATATATGAAAAGTTCCGCATCCCAATCCCAAATAGTGCCCAAAATTACATTGTTCCTCGTTCACCTTATTAAGGCTGCAACAACTGAATTTTGACAAGTGATTGCACGTATAGTCTATGTCTGCCTCCTCCTATAAAAGCTAAATATTCAGAAACATGTTCTCAGCATTTAACAGAATTAAGTTGTTGGGCAGAGTTGATTATGTATGGTTTAAAGATAAAAGACAGAAAGAATGAAAGGAAAAAAATTTCAACAAAGGGCTGCACTGGGGACCACAGCAATGAAGCATGCCACTGCCACTGCTTATATGCTACTACCCAAAATAGATATAATGTGCAATGCTGAGCAATTTTACTGGTGCATGCCCAGCACTCACTAACAGCAACATTACATCCATCACAGGGTGCAGTGTGGGGTGCACCCTACCACGGTCCTTTGACAAAAGACATGCCCCAAACGACTGAAAACTCCCTTTCCAAAAAAACAGTTCTTAGGACAAAAAAATGGTACTTGTCATTTCATCAACATTTTCCCTCCAATGGTCCATAAAACACAGTAGCTAGAAATATTGACAATTGCTCTGACCTCTTTCCTTTTCTGTAGCAAGAGTTCCAGCCTATCATTTGCTCGTTTCCCAATTATTTTATTTCGCTCTGCTTCATACTGCCGTTGTGTATTGTCCATGTTAATACTAAGATTTAATGCCACATTCACTAAAGCAGTCATCAGCTTCATAGCTACAAAAAAAAGTTAAAAAAAAAATGAGGACTGATTAAAAAAAGTTATCTGATGTAAGAAAGATGCAAATAAATGAGTTATGATAAAAGTAAACCAACACCCTACTACCACTTACATATACATATGGAAAAAGTATGATTATTTTACTTAATTCTCCTTTAAACTTTAAGGCATCCTGTACACTTAAATTTAAATAAAAGCACAGTCACTACCACTGTAGCAAACAAGAGCTATTCAAACATCATTATTTATTAACCTTTACTAAGGTATATAATTAATTAAATGCCGTAATGTTTACTATACTATTAGCTCTGATTTTCCTCATGCTTCGATGGTTATTATGTCATCTGAACTGCAACATAATGTTTACTCAGAAGAGCTTTAATTCATCTGGATGATCAAATGCCAAGATACATTGCCAAGGAAATAGTAAAGTATTTCACTACTAAATTAGTTAACAAACTTCATAAAGCCACTTTAGAATTCTTCTCATCCCCTCAATGAGAGCATTTTGTTTAACTTTCTTGTCCTTTATTTACAAATACAGGTTTCCCTCGTTTTACGCGGGTTCTGTATGTACGAATTCACTCTTATGCGATGACCCCTTCTATACCAAAAAGTCATTATATGCAAGGTAAATTCACTCTTATGTGATCACTGTGGTGGAAGCCCGCAGTCAGCTGCTTGGTGCAGTGCATTATGAGAATAACACGCACCAAAACAGTTTTCTGCATAGCTCTGTGCTCCTCGCTC